CTCCTCCTCCTCCTCCTCCTCCTCCTCCTCCTCCTCCTCCTCCTCCTCCTCCTCCTCGAGTTTTTGTTTTGATAGGGTTTCATTATATGCCTTGGCTGGCCTGAAACTCTTTATGTAGACCAGGCTGGACTTAAACTCATAGATATCCACCTGCCTCTGCCTCCTAAGTGCAAGAACCAAAGTCGTGTGTGTTACCAGGTCCAGTTTCATTTCCTTTTTTTGAGACAAGGTCCTATCATGTATGGTCTGGAACTTGCTATGTAGAAAAGGCTAGCCTTGAGTTCGCAGAGATCCACCTGTACCCCCCCACCCCCCACCCCCAGAGTGCTCAGTAAAGATGTCTGCCCACACCAGGCACTCTTCTCCTGTATTTACAAAGCACCTAAGAGGCCAGCATGATGGCTCAGTGGTAAAGGTGCCGGCTGCCACACTGAGTTCAGGCCACATCACTTCATGGTTCGAGGACTCCTGAAAACCCCCAACGCCCACTTGGGCAAGTGTCAGTGCATTTGCTTAAATGTAAAACACGGGAAGTGTCTGGGGCTGCTTTGATACCAATGAGCTCTGCAGGCTTGTTTGGTCTCTTGTTGATAAACGTCTCGAAGGACTCCTTCATCAGGTTGATGAAGCGCTCGTTTCTCTGGAAGCACACCTCCACCACGTGGTCCACTTTGTCTTTAAAGTCCAGCAAGTCTTGGACCATGTCTTTGTCTTTCTCAGGGTTGATGACAATGGTTGTCCCAAAGGTCTACAGAAACAAGAAACAACCAAGTCAGCACCAGGTTTAAGAAGCAAAGTGTATCTTTAAGCTGTCTTACAACATGGTGTCAGGCCTGGTTTTCCCACTTTCTACATGTGGCCATGACTGTGGGTATCTCTAGTACCCCCTGAGCAGGTGGTGCCTGGCATTCAGAGGTCCTGGATCAGCCCCAGGCGACTGTCCTAAAAGATGCTGAATGGTGCTTTACTGGCAAGGGAGGGGCACAATGCCTGGATGACACAGGTAGGAACTGAGGCAATAAATCTTAAATTGGGCTCAGAAACACAGCAGGAGGCAGACCACAGTATGTATCAGTACACAGGGAACACATGTGCCAGTGAATGTGTGACTGAGTGAGCATGTGAGAGAAGGACAGGAAGCTGTCATCACTGCACTGCAAGTGTCGACCCGCATGGCTGCTGTTACTGCTCCTGTCATCCTGGCTCCTCACAGTAGCTGGCTGCCCTCTGCTGGGGTGGAGTATGTCCCCAGTGGGAGCCACCATGGGCCAGTGTGTACCTTGATGTACTCGCTCCAGTGCTGCAGCAATGCATGCTGCCCTCCTTTCACCCGGCTGAAGAGCTGGTACATCTGGGTGAGGTCGGGCACCCTGTTCTCATCCAGCAGGTGCTCGAGCCCTAGTGGGGTGCACAAGACAGGTCACAGCAGGAAGGCGGCCGTCACGAGTGACAGCAGGACAGTCTGACCACAAAGCAAGGACGTGGCCTGCAGACGTGGAGCATGGACCTGCTACACAGCACGTCTGTTGATGAAATGCCCGCGGTGGCTCCTGTCGGTGAGCCTCACTTTCCGAGTGCACCGGAGTGCATTATTTACTCTCATTTCACTAAACCCTTAGTTCACAAAAGTAACGAGTCAGAAACATACAGACACGTGTCTTACTATGAGAAATTCATGGTGCAAATGACTTGAGGTTTTGTCTATCAGTCAGGAAAACATTTGTTAAAAGACTGTTTCAGAGGCTGGAGAGATGGTTCAGCAGTTAAAAGCACTTGCTATTCTTGTGGACCTAGGTTTGGTTTCCAGCACCCACATGGTGGCTCACAAATCTCTCTAACTCTAGTTCTAGGAGACATGATGCTCTCTTCTGACCACTGTGGGCACTGCATACATGTGGTGCATATACATACATGCAGGCTAAACACTCATGGGTAAAATAAATCTAAGCTGAAATGGATTCAACTTTAAGTTTTCAGTTGATTAATTTGATTCACATAATAAATTTTTTGTTTGTTTGTTTGTTTGTTTTTGTTTTTTGAGACAGGGTTTCTCTGTGTAGCCCTGGCTGTCCTGGAACTCACGCTGTAGACCAGGCTGGCCTCGAACTCAGAAATCTGCCTGCCTCTGCCTCCCAAGTGCTGGGATTAAAGGCGTGCGCCACCACCGCCCGGCTGATTCACATAATAAATTTTAAGACAAGTATTTATCCGATATTTCATGTACAGGCATTCTAGAATTTCTATTCAGTTATTTAAGTTTTATAATTTTATTATTTCACTTATACAAGCATTTTGCCTGTATGTACATGTAAGACGTTTGTGCAGTGCCTACAGAGGCCAGAAGAGGGCATCAGAGAGGCTAGCTGTAGACCTAGGCTCTCAGCCACTTCAGCCGCCTGTCCTCTCCCCACCTGGCAGTGTCTGCACACACAGGTGCTAAGCTAGAGGTCTAGATGCTTAGCCAAATCACCTCTGAGCCAAACATGCAAATAAGCTTTAACTTTTGCAAAATCTTATCTCCTAGAAGTCCTAAATAATGTCTTAAAACTTTTAAGGGCCTTTTACTTTTTGGAATGTTTCTAATATAACTGTATATATATGTACTCAGGTGTTTGTGTACATATCTGTAGGTGTCTGTATAACTGTGTGTGTATGTGCTCGTGTGTTTGTGCACGTATCTGTAGGTGTCTGTATAACTGTGTGTGTATGTGCTCGTGTGTCTGTGTACGTATCTGTAGGTGTGTGTTGACCTGGGTCCAGAGACTGACATCTCCCTTGGTCATCCTCCTCCTGTGCTGTGCTTGCTTCTTACATGTCAGACAGAGCCCCCGACTCTGATCTTACTGACTCCTGTGCTGTGCTTGCTTTTTACATGTCAGACAGAGCCCTGACTCTGATCTTACTGACTCAGCAGACTGGCTGGCAGTAGAGCCGTCCTTGTCTCTGCCATCCCAGTGCTGTGGTTACAGGTGGCTTCTTAATGTGGACTCTGGGAACCCAAATTTAGGTCCTAATGCATGCCTAATGGCAAGCACGTGATCAACTAAGACCTCGCCATAGCCCCATAATAAAGTTTAGAATAAAAGGTTTTTTTTTGTGTGTGTGTTTTTCGAGACAGGGTTTCTCTGTGTAGCCCTGACTGTCCTGGAACTCACTCTGTAGACCAGGCTGGCCTCGAACTCAGAAATCCGCCTGCCTCTGCCTCCCAAGTGTTGGGATTAAAGGCGTGCGCCACCACTGCCCGGCATTAGAATAAAGTTTTACAAACATAGTTTACTATTTTCTTACAAGAATTTATCAAAGTCTACACTGTGACAATTTGTGAGTGTGTGTGGGTGCACGTGCTCTCTCTCTCTCTCTCGAATGAGATGAAGTGCCTTAACCAGGCAGAAATGAGTACTGACTGCCCTAGAGTCTGTGTGGTTGTGAGGTCAGTAGCTCGGATCCTCTGCCTGGTCACAAAGGCTGTAACCGCTGTGTGCACCACCGCTCCAGCCAACTCTTCATTCTTATAATTATTCATTTTAATTTTTAAAAATTCTTTTCTGTGCCATTTTGAACTCCCATATGTTAAGAACACAAAACAAATTTCAGTCCACTGTGCTTTCTTGCTGTAGGGTTATGCCCTGTCCTCTTAGCAAGAGCTTGCTGGTGGCTCTAAGGCCGTTGAGTGACCCTGGAGACCCTAGAAACACTGTCTTGTTTCTAGGATGCTGAGGCTTTCTGCTGTACTTCTTGACCTACATCTGGAAATATGCATTCTCCAACAGCTCTTCAGTTTCTACTCAGTGGAGACAGTTACCTACCAGTCATGTTGTCTACACTACAGGTGCTCATTCCTAGCACACTGGACACTGTTACTAGACTTTGAGTGGAAAACTATCAAATGCATTTTTCTTAAAGAAATCTTTTTAAAGGCAAGCTTTCACACTGTATTCTTGGCTAACCTGAAACTCAATACACAGACCATGCTGGTCTCCACTTACTATGGTCTGTCTGACTCTGCCTCCCGAGTGCTGGGATTAAAGGCGTGCACCACTATGCTTGGCTAATATTATTTCTAAAATAATTTTAGGAATTCTTACCTTTTCCCATCTGTGGCTTGGTCCCAGGCCTCACGCAAACTAAATACATATTCTACCTTTCACTGTGTTACACCCCGTGCTAAGTGAGCACTGTATCACTGTTCTATCTCCCCAGCCTTAGATTGTTTTTATTTCTTGTTATTCTTAGGAAATGTTTCACTAAGGATATATCCTTAAAGAAAAGAATTTAAGAATTACATCTGTATAAATGCATGCATGGACGCTGTCTCCTTTCCTTGGCTGTACCACGTTTGGTAGTGGGCACCTTCATCAGCCCAGCTACTTTGTTGCCAACTGTCTCTTATTTTTGTTTTTTTAAGATAAAGTTTCTCTATGTAGTCCTCACTGTCCTAGAACTTGCTATGCAAATCAGGCTGGCCTCAGATTCACAGAGATCCACCTGCCTCTGTCCAGTGCTGGGATTAACAGTTGCCCTACCACGCCTGGCCTCCAATTCTGACTTTGTAAAAGCACCCAGCACAAGTTCTGAATGCACCTGCTCTTAGGCAATGACTCGAGCACTGAGTGAGAATGTGCACTTGGGTAGGTTTGTGTGTGGGTCACTGGGAAACCCATCGATGCAGACAGGAGGCACAAGCTATCTATGGTGCTTAGGTGACACCAGCTATGTGGCTTTGGGCTTTGGTAATCTCAAGGGACTGCTCTTTGAGGGTGGACTGTGGCGACAGAGGCCTGGCACACCCCTTCTCCTGCTTTACTTAGCTACTGTATGAAGGTCCCACTTGCACACGTCTCACTGAGTCCACCATTAGCACCTGGCAAAGCAGAATCTACCAGCCACTGCAGGAGCGGCCCTTCCTCAGAACTAAACCTTCAGACACTCAAAGCACAAGGAGGAGCTATGGGCTATGGTTTCCTATCACAGCTAAATGACCTTAAATGGGTGACACGGAACACTAAAGTTTTAACAAGTTACACTGGTATCTGAGTGTCATAAAACAGTGGCTGTGTGCATTGTAATGTCTGGAGGTGTATGATCGCTGTGAAGGTGAGAAACCAAACCAAACCAAAAGCCACCAAACCAGTGGACTGAGCTGAACACGTCTACACTAAAGCCAATGAATACAGACCATAGGAAGTGGGTGGGCTATGGAAACGCAATGCTTTATGGCTTTAGTGTTATGTGCAAAGTGGTGTAATACCCTCTAAAGGCAAACTTTAAGAAAGATATATTTATAACCCTAAGTTGTGACCAAAAGCCTGCTTATATTCAGAGAGTCCTTCCCATAGCTCTGCTCAAGGTAACAGATCTATCTATCGATCCACCTAAGTCCTAGTCTCTCCAGTTAGACGCCCTCTGGGAAGAGCCTAGGCTTCTGCGTACGGCCATGGTAACCTAGTGTACAGGTTATGAAGACCTAGAACAGAGGACTGAAGGCGGCAATGAACAAATGGCATGAGACACTGGTCTGGAGACACTGATGGCTGAAATTTAATCAGCACACACTGTATGAACATACTGACATGCTACACATACATATTCTACATGATAGTACGCCACAAGGAGGAACAATTATTTCACAAAAGAAAAACCTTCCGAGGTGGTTTAACCAAGCAGGGCTTAAAAACACCAGCCTACAGTTTTTTTGTTTTCTCCAAGATAGTGTTTCTCTGTATTATAGCCTTGACTGCCCTAGAGCTCCCTTTGTAGACCAGGCTGGCCTCAAACTCAGAGATCCACCTGTCTCTGCCTCCCAAGCACTGGGACTAAAGGTGTGCGCCAGTACTGCCCAGCCAGCACAGTCCTTTACTGTCTAGTTAAAATACAAGGTCCAAGTTACAAGGCAAGTGTGGTGGTGGTACACACCTTTGATTCCAGCCGTATCATTTAACTGTGAATTCCTTTGAGGGCTAACACACTTATTAAACAAGTGGCACAGTAGTTTGTCTTATAAAATTAAAAATTTGTGAAGTAATATACAGTGCTTCAGAGTTTCACAAGTTAAAGATTAGAATTCAGTGTAAAATCACACATGACTGGGAAAACTCACCTTTCTGCAAAATTGCTGTCAAATGTTCTCCTAACAGCTGTTTCTCAACACAGGCAATCAACGGTTTTCTGTAAAAGCAAACCAGAAGATGTCAGCAGCAGAGGTTGGTTAGCTACCACAGTGAGAGTTAAAGTCATGGCAGCCAGCTTACAGCCACTTGGACAGAGGGCTAAAGTATGAGATTTTCACTAAACTGACTGTGAATTATGGCTTTTGCTGATGATTCTAAACCAGATTTCAATTCTATTTATTCTTTTCATGAGACAAGATTTCAATACTTAGGACACGATGGTCTTGGATGCATGTTTTTCTGCCTCCACTACCCAGCGCTGGGATCACAGACATGCACCACCACACCTGGCTCCTGCAGCGGCATTTCTAAACAAAACCTGCTGAATAACACAACAGGTCCACAGGAAGGTGCAGAGCACCTCAGGTGCCTGCCTGCCATAGGTACATGGGTACAATACCCTGGGTTCTGACTTCTTCCTCTGCCCTTCATAGTCTGGCCCCTGATGTCACTAAAGCTTCCTGAATCATACACATAAACTCTAAAGCAGTCTGGAGTCCTGTGGAGGGAGTCCAGGAAGGCAGTCTAGAAGTTGGCAGGGCACTCCCAGCAGGGCAGTCTCCAGTCCAGTAGGCATATGCCTACTGAGGCACTCTGTTCCGTGTTCACTCTCATGCTGGCCTGCTGGGCAGGATGTTGTCACGATGTTGAGGCACCAGCAGGCCTAGGATCTTAAGTATTTTCTGTGGCAGATTACCAACTCCCTGGGGATCCAGACTCTGACCTCTCTCCTCCTCCTCCATGATGGCCCTGTCTTCCCACACACTCTCCACTGTGCTCTCAGCCTTCCTTGCACCTCTGTATCACAGGAGGAACTGGCAACTGCCTCACCTGCTACTCTAGGTCTGAGGCATGCTCCTCACCCGACCATCCCCACACCCACGGTTATTGGGCAGGATTCTGCTCATGGATACAGCCTGCTGTGAGGTCTGGGCTCACAAACACCACACAGAACAGAGCTGACCACTGTAGTCACAGGTACAGAAAAGGCCTTCCTGGTTCATCCCCAGCCCAACCACTCATCTCTCTGAGACAGGTTCTGTACAGAACTCACTATGGAGACCAACTGAGTCCTGAACTCACAGACATGCATACCTCCCCTGGCCTCCCTTGAGCCTCACCACACCAGCCTCCTGGCCTTCTATTCTTACTCATAACTCACTTTCTCTTTTCAGAATCGCACAGAAAACAATTAACTCTAGACCTTTTTCAAGCCTTTGTTTTAGAGTTTATAAGGAACACTACTGACTGGGGTTTAGTACCCAGTACCAACGTGTTAAGTGATGTTCTGTGCACACACCACGGCCATGTGTGTAGATGCCAGAGGGGCCTTCAGGAGCCACTTCTTTCCTTCTGCCAGGTGGGTCCCAGGGACTGGACCCAGGTAGTCAGGCTCGGCAGTGAGTCATCCGAGTCTCCCTGTGGAGCCCTGGTCGCCTGAAACTCACTTTGTAGATGAGAATAGCTTTGTACTCAGAGATTCACCTGCTTCTCTGATTCTTGAGCATTAGACTAAAGGTGTACACCAACTTTCTACAACGAACTTTTTAGCAAATGTAACTCTCATAGCACCTATGGCAAAAGGCAAGATTATATCCCATCCTCCATGAAAATGGAGTTCAGAGATCTGAGTGGCCTAAGCCCACCACTCTGAGGGGAGCCCAGTGTAGCCTCTGCCTCGCTCTAGCTGCTTACGCTCAGCCTCCCATGGCCTCCTCTAACTCATCTCCTCTATCAGGTGGATGTAAATAGTCATTTTTTGCTGATCATTTAATCCCCTTAAATAACGACTCTTAATAACTGAATACGAAATTAAAGGGTTTGGATTACATCCCCCACAGTGGGCGGGGTTTGGATTACATCCCCCACAGTGGGCGCCATATATAAAATCTAGCTTTTCCTCTCAATCACTTAATTCCCAGCAATAAGGACTCTGAGACTAATTAATTATTAATAGATGCTTAGGCCAAAAAAGCTCTGGCTTGCTCTTAACTTATTGTCCCTTTTATTCTAGCCAGAATTTAGCTTCATGGCTCCTTTTCTTTTTCTCTCCTTGTCTTCTTATGTCTGTCTCCTCAGCTTTCCAGGGTGAGTCTCCCGTGTCTCTATTCCCCAGAATCCTCTCTATCCCTGCCGGGTAGCTCAGCTCCTATTTCCTGCCGTGGCTCATGGCCATAGCTATTCTATTGGCCGGTGATGCTTGTGAGAGTCTCTACAGTGGGCGTGTGGCGGGCACATCAGTCTCCCCAGGCAGCCCAGCCTCCCCAGCACAGGTCTGCACGAGGACCCATGGCGCCCTCACTGGAAAGGGAGAGCACAACTCTCTTAAAGGTGCTGTCCTGCACGTGCACGCTCTGTCTCCTGGGATCTGACCCTTCCTCCCCTCTTGTCCCCCGGGCCCTCCACGCCCCCATCTCCCCGCAGCAGAGCACACACACACTGCTCATCGGCCTAGAGTCCAGAGGAGAAAGACACATGAAGAGAGAAATGCGGACTGTTTCATAAGGTTTACGGCCATGCAGGACACCTAAGAAGTCTCCCTAGCCGGGGCTGGAAATGACTCAGTGGTTAAAGAGTGCACACTGCTCTTGCAGAGGTCAGAGGTCAGTGCCCAGCACCACACCAGGTGTCCCATGAACTGTCCCCAGCTCTAGGGGGTCTCACACCGCTGGGTCCTCCCTCAGCATCTGTGTTCACAAGCGGATCACCACACACTGCACATGAAAAGCACTCACACAAACATTAAAACAACAAGAGGCTGGAAAGACAAGAGCCTTGCACTCAGTGAAGTTCTATCAGGCAAACAAGCACTCAGAGGCTAAGGGTGTCACTCCCTTCCTGAGTCCTCTGTGATCGCTCGTCTTTGTAAGAAACACAGTTCGTAACTGCTGAGCGCACACATCTTACAAGCACAGCTTGGCCTTGGGAGCAGAATAGTCTCAAGGGCTGGGTGTACGCCAGAGGCACGCGTGACTGCAATGTGAGGCCAGGAGGTACGTGGCCCGTGGGAACTGGGGACTCAGTGCAGTGCTTACGTACTGTGTGCTGTGGTCTAAATAAGTGATCACTCGGTCTGCTTCCTCTTCTAGACGTTTGCTCACATGGTTAAGGTATTCTGGAACCTTCCAAAAAAACATTTAACACATCAATGACAAACATTTCTCACATTATACATAAAATTTCTTCAAAAAATTGGAGAAAAAAAGAGAGAGAAGCAAACACATTCAAGTGAGATGTCCATACCATTGAGAACACCTCTAAAACCAGGGCCCAGGGTTCACTCACTGCTTACTACAAAGTGCTGAGAGACAAAATACACACCAGTGGGCCCATAATGCATGAGTTAGTAGTAGTACCTGGGTAGACAGCCAAAGCTTACTAGCAACCTGTATCCACACATGGATCACACGGCTCTGCCAGCGGTGACACCCTCCCTACCCTGCAGTCACAGCAACTGCAGACATCACTTGTCCAGGGGTGAACAGGCCTCAGAGCCATCTGCTAGCATGGCTGCAGCTGAGCTATGATCTGACAGGCTAGGCTGACCTTTGAGGAGCAGGTGGCTCCATGGAGATGCTTGAGGACTGGACTCTGGTCTCTAAGAAGCTGCTCAGTGGGTCTGAGGTGATGCTGCTATTACATATGCTTCCTCACATACACTCTTTACCAATGGTTTACACAGGGGAAAATTTTGATTTTTAAGACTAGCTCTTTATCTTCTTGTTTAGACATGTGCTCCTTTTCTATTTCAGAAACTACTCAGGGGAGGGGAGATAAAGGAGGGCTCTAAGGGAAAGAAATTAACTTCTCTCTACAGCAAGCAGTTCTTCCCCGAGGACTTGAGACTTTGGCAAATATGTGCATAGGAAAGGGCAGCAGGCCCAAGCCAAATGCAGTCGTTGGTCGGTCGGTTGCACATCTCACCTCCCTGTCCTGCATCAGCCTCTGGCCTTCGGCAGCGTATAGACAGTTAGTCTCTTCCAGGAACTTCAGCTCAAACGAGTCTTTATACACCTAGGGAACAGGCAGTCAGTGATGAGCTTCAGTACAGACGCCTTCCCGTCAAGCACTAATTCTCATCACCCTTTTCTGCGGCTCCTTGCACAGTGTACCACTGGCCTCCATCACTCTCCTTAAGGACCAGACAATCATGTACTTCTGGGGTACAACTCCCCACTTACATCTCTAGGGCAGGTACCTGCCAACGGCTATCACATGCTCGAGACCAAGCCTCACCTGGAGATCCGAGAGCATGCTTAGCAAACTCCGAAGCAGGCTCCTGTCCACCGCCTCGCCACTGCGCTCACGGGCAATCAGCAGCAGGATCCCATCGATGGTCTTACTCTGCACCATCCTGTCGCTGACGATGTGGCTCCTGAAGAGCTCCAGGCCCATGTCCCTGATGGAGAGACACAGCAAGACTGGCTCTCCTTCGATGCTCTAGCGCTTCAAGCGTGCTACACGCACCAGCCCACACTGCTGCTTGCTAATTCTATCCAGAGCTTCAGAAGTCCACTTACAAATGCTTGTCGGGCCAGTCCAGGATGTCTATGCCTCTACCAAACATGAGGTTAATTCCTAGATAGGTCAAGCTGACTACCCCAAGGAGATTATGAGGTATCTTGTGCCACACAGGCCCCCGATTATCAAATTGCTAAACTGCTATTGATGGATCCACCGTCTCTGACCTATGGCTCATCATTCTCCTTGAGTGAGCTATAAGGTATCAGGATTATGGGACTCACCATTGCATCTGCTCCCTCTGCACAACCCCCGCCCCCCATACTGTCTCCAGCAACCACTGCTGCTGACACTGTTTCCACAGAAAGCAGATATGAAAGGACCACAAGTTAACCCTGCTCCCCCAGCATGTGGCTCAGGAGTCGTGGGAGTCTGTGCAGTGAAGACGTCATGCTCTAACAAGAGGATTCTGCAGGTCTGCAGCAGACCCGGGGTCAGGGTGGACTCACCAGATAGAAGGCAGCATGGAGTTCTGGAGGACATAGGTGCGATCCAGAAACAGGAAGATGCTTCTGATCATGATCTGAGGAGCAGAGAGGAGTGGCATTCCCACACCCATTCCCCACTCACGCACGCCACTTGACAACGGACTTTTTGGACCATCTTACATCAGCTGCCTTGAAAGTGACAATCATTTCTCGATGGAAACCCGCACATACCAAGACCCTCATTTTTACAAAGTTAACTTTTTCTTCTGGTATTTTCCATTCAATACAACAGCTCAGATTGCAAGGATTTTAAAGCCCTCAGCCTCAAGGAAATCTGAAATTTAATTATTGCCCAAATGATGACATAATGGACGGCTGTCTAATCATTCCTTCTTGTTTTTTTGGGGTGTGGGTCTCATAGCTGTAAACTTTATTTTCCTATTTCTACTTCCTAAATGTGGTGGTTACAGGCAGGTATACAATTTCTATTCCTGGCTTAAGTTTTCTAAGAAAACTTGCTGCACTGTCTTGAGGCTCTTGGGCTCCTGTGCAGGCAGTGAACTGTCCTCTCCTTTACTGCTGAAGCCATGTGTTCCTAGCTGGAACCGCCTCCACTTTTTGGTGAGACTTGCTGACATTTGGAATCCCTTCCCTAGTGGACACTCTTGTTTTTCATATCCACGTGGCTCAAAACGCTGCTCACTTTAGAAAACGAGCATCTGGCCTACTTGAAGAAGCCACAAAGACTATCTTCTCTCAGAGTCAGCGACAGCTGGGCCACACGGGAACCCATGTCTCGAGTCACATTAGACCCATCCACAGTCTAAGGCTTAGCTATTCAGCTACATCGAAGAGCTGGGACTCAGGCCAACCTTCAGTTAGACACTGGGAGCCTCCTCTGAGAACTTGGGGAAGTCTTTGATGAGCACGCAGTGACTGCTGACCTGGAGGCCAGCACCTCCTTCTGGTCCACTCCATTCTACTGCTTACTGTGGTGAAGGGTCCCTGAGCTCAGGTCTTACGTTGGTGGAAAGGCGGCTGTAAGAACTCACCTTCATCTGTCTGGAGCAGAGGCTTGTAAGGACGAGACAAGTGAGCAGGCACGAGTGAGCTGACTCAGGCATTCACTGATAGAGAAGCAAGGCTCATGAAGGCTGCGACTTACCATTTGTCTGCAGTGATCTTGCCAGCATGTGTTAATCTTCTTTAGAAATAAAACGCTGTCTAGTGAGTCTGTGCAGCCCTGCTAAGGAAGCTTCAAGCACAGCAGTCCATCCCAGTTTTCTAACTTTCACTTTAACCAATACCCTTCCTGCTAGATGTCCTTCTACAAACACTGAAAGGTCATACTATAGTCTCAAACACTTATGTATCCCAATTCCACAGTGGAAACCCAATCTTAAGGCAATAGTGCCAGGAGGTATAAATGACACCCTAGAGAGCTGCCGCATCCTACCCACAAAGCAGGACCCTCTTACCAGACGGAGACAACTAGTACTTGGGTCTTGGGACTTCCAGTCTCCCAGCTGTGAAGAGTAAACACCCATGGGTAATTTTTACAAATATACCAACAGAGACCTGCAGCTCCCAAACCAGGAGTGTGAATTCCTGGCCTCTGCCCACTACCACCTCATTTCCTGTCTGTGGTAACCTACCTGACTCATCCTGCCCCTGGGATCTGTGTCTTACTGCTTTGACTTCCATTCTCTCCTCTCTGCAGGGCTTTCTGTTCCTGCCAGCTGACAGAAATAACCAGGCACAGGTGCTGCATCAAGGGGGCAGGACTTCACCCCACTGGGGGCCAGGACTGAACATAACTCTATAGAGGACCTTCTACAGCCGGTGTCTGGCAGGACCAGGATGTCTCACAGTCAAAAAGTGTGGATACAATAATAACAGCTGGGAGCCGGCAGCTCGAGAGTGGTAGAGACCTGCCCAGTAAAAACTCAGAACACTAAACACAAGGTTGCATCCGTGACCAGATCGTGCACCGGCTACACTCTAAGTGTGCTTCTCTGTGTTTGGGACTTTGTGTATGCTTTGGGAGCAGTGTCACTCTTCCCAAGACTGGCCTTAAACTCAGCTTTCCTCCTTCCCCAGTGTACCGCATGTTGGGATTTTAGGTGTCAGCCACCACACTGTGCTTGTTTGGTTTGAGTCAGGATCTTAACATACAGCCTATGCTGGCACTGAATGTGAGTCCTTCTGCATCAGCATCCTCAGAGATTACAGGCATGTGCCAGTGTATGTGGCCTAAGAAAGACTTAAACATTTTTTGAGCTAGGGTCTCACTATATACTCTGGCTGGCCTGGACCTTGCTATTAGGACATTCTATAATTTACTGTATGTATGCATGTGTGTATGTATGTATGTATGTATGTATGTATGTATGTGTGTGTGTGTATGTACGTATGTATGTGTGTATGTGTGTGAGCTGCCATGTTGGTTATAAGAACTAAATCCCAGTCCTCTGGAAGAGCAGCAAGTGCTCGTAACTGCTGAGCCATCTCTCCAGTTCCATTATTTTTAAATTTTTAGAATTCTTTCAAATGACCTAATTTTTTATTTGTATGCATATGTATGCTGGTGAGCCCTGGAAGCCAGAGACGAGCCATCACTCCTGGAACGTAAGTCACCTGGCTGACACAGGTCCCGGGACTTGACCTTGGGACCCTGCAAGAGCAGCAGTGCTCTCACCACCAAGCCTCCTCTCTAGCTTCTAGCACTTCTTTTCTAAAATGTGCAAAAACACAGTTATAAAACAAAGATGTCAGAATGTGGGTTTCTAGAGAAAGTTGGGTTTTTTTTTCCCATTTTCATTTGATCTTCAAGCTTCCTAACACAGAAAAGCAGCCCATGTAGGTGGAAAGCAGCAGATTCCTGTCTGCCACTCAGCAGCACGTGCCCCATCCGTATCAATGAGTGCAAGAACAGAAGGCCAGCACACTCAGCTCACATGCTAGTGCAAGAACGGAAGACCAGCACACTTAGCTCACATGAGGAACACTTAGATGGAGGAGAAGCTTGCTAAGTGTGCACAGCCAGGTCAGAGAAGCACCAGATCTTGAGTGAGTGAAGGACAGCTGGTAGAGGCACATGACACTGGCCTGACCTCAGGAGGGAAGACAGTGTTCAGGGAGACAGTAGAGGGACAGGCACATCTATCTGTGCAGGTGGCCATGGCCACAGTGGGTCAAGAGGTCTAGTTTCTCCCTCCTAAGCCTCGGGAAGCATAGCCACACATTTGGATAGGCAGAGTGAAAGCCTGTCAGTCCAAGGGCTAGCCCGTTTCCCTTGGAGAATGCATCTGTAATGTTCTATAAACTATGCCAGACCACTGCTGAGAAACCTATACAAAAAGCTGGGCAAAGCAAGACACAGGTTGGCCACAGGACATTTGATTCAGCAGGGTGAGAGTTGCCACTGGCTTGGCCTGACGGTGAAGTGCCTAATAAGCTCACACTGGCCAGTGCTGTGTGGCAGTGAGCCTGCATGAGACTTTAAGCTTAAGATGGAGTTAAACTGACACTAGTCCATCTGATGCTACCAGGCAGCTCCAGATGTCATCAATAACCACAGGGGAGTTGCACCTGGCCCAGTATATCTCTAAGATGCAGGGTCCAATGTCAAAGTTCTGTAATAGAAGAGTTCTGTTAAGTAACGGAGGTCAATCATTTTCTGCTATTTTCCATGGAAAACAGTATAGAAGAGTAAAGCATTTCCACAGAGAGTTGTGTTAAGATCCTACTCAGCCTGCTGCAATTCAGTCAGTTCTAGGATGCAAGGCTTAAGGTGTCTCCATGGTGCCAGAGGTGAGTAATTCTAGGTAGTGAGATACACACGTGTCAAAGGGTCTGTTGTGACTTCTGCTGAGGCAGCTTCCTGGTAGCCATTCTTGTCTCATTTTGGAGAAGGGTTGATCCCTGCAAAGGACTCATACCATCCATGGAAGTAAGATACACCTTTCATGATACAATTAACACCCAATAACAAGAATGCTTATGAAAGACTATGAAAAAAAAATCCCAATCACAAAGCCTATTTAAAGGAAAGTAAAACTCCATTACTTATATTGGCTGGAGAGTGCAGGGCAATGACCTGCCCTAGAGCCTGGGGCTTCACCCACTCTGGGTCACTGCTCCTAGAGCCTGGGGCTGCGCCCACTCTGGGTCACTGCTCCTAGAGCCTGGGGCTGCGCCCACT